GCTTAGCGTCTTCGTAAATAATTATGGGGAGAATCTTCCACGTTGAATGGCGGTACAAGCTCCAGGATCGGTTAACCACAGCCTGAGCTAGAGCAAGTTTAGTGAAAAATGAAAAATTGGAGGTATTTTTGCTCGTGCGTCACGCTCTAGTTCCTCGATTTGTGTATGTGTGTGTATAAGACCTGTGCGCCACCACCGGCCGTCGATACTTTTTCACACGCCGCCGCCGCCAATGATTTTGATCATTTTTGACACGCCAACGATGTAAAGACTTCAATACACGTCTTAATTTAAAAATGTCCAACATATTTTCGACGTTCTTGTATAAGATTTGACAGTTTTATTCAGAATCAATAGGAACATTAACAGGTTGCTTAATAATTCCATTTACATGCTGGGCTACAAAATGGTGAGTTGACAACCTGGAAGGAGCGGAATACCTAGCCCTGGTCCTCACAAGTTCCTACTTCACGCCTCCTCGAGTCATATGATAACAAAAGACTACCAGCTGAAACATGGACACAGCTGGGTGGCGTAGCCTGGGCAGTGTTGCCAGTCCGGCAATAGCAAAGTGAAGAGGTGCGACGCGAACACTGGCGCGGTAACCATAGTACGTTGATAGACGAAATGCTTCACCAAACCTGAGCGTCTGTTCACCATGGAGGTGCGGCTCAAAACGGCGTCTGTTCTCCATGTTAGTAGCGGCTGATCACCGTCCTAGTGCCAGCGTGGGACTCTAAACAGAGCTGTGCACGATGGTCCCCCGGCGAGACAGGGGGTTGGGGCAGGCCCAACAAGCCGCCCTGGAAAAAAAAACAAAGTTGCAAATACCGAAGAAAGAAATACGGATCGGAACAATCGGCACAGACCTACGCGACGAAATAAGGACTACGATTGGAAACTCGGAACATGGAACTGCAAATCGCTCGGCTTCCCGGGTTGCGATAGGTTAATCTATGACGAACTTCAACCACGCAACTTCGAAGTCGTAGCACTGCAGGAACTTTGCTGGACGGGACAAAAGGTATGGAAAAGCGGGCATCGAGCGGCTACTTTCTACCAGAGCTGTGGCACCACCAACGAGCTGGGAACCGGCTTTGTAGTGCTGGGTAAGATGCGCTAACGCGTGATTGGTTGGCAGCCGATCAACGCGAGGATGTGCAAGTTGAGGATTAAGGGCCGTTTCTTCAACTACAGCATCATCAACGTGCACTGCCCACACGAAGGGAGACCCGACGACGAGAAAGAAGTATATTAAGCACAACTGGAGCAGGTGTACGACGGCTGTTCGCAACGGGACGTCAAAATCGTCATCGGCGACATGAACGCTCAGGTAGGACGGGAGGCAATGTATAGACCGGCAATCGGGCCAAACAGCCTGCATGCCGTATCGAACGACAACGGCCAACGATGCGTGAACTTTGCAGCCTCCCGGGGTATGGTAGTTCGAAGTACCTTTTTCCCCCGCAAGGATATCCACAAAGCCACCTGGAGATCACCTGACCAACACACAGAAAACCAAATCGATCACGTTCTAATCGACGGGAAATTCTTCTCCGACATTATCAACGTCCGCACGTACCGCAGTGCGAACATAGATTCGGACCACTACCTAGTTGCAGTATGCATGCGCTCAAAACTCTCGACGGTGCATAACACACGTCGAAGTCGAACGCCGCGACCCAACATTGAGCAACTACGGGACGCCGGAATTGCCCAGGACTACGCGCAGCAGCTGGAAGTTGCACTACCCACGGAAGAGCAGCTTGGCGCAGCTTCTCTTGAAGATGGCTGGAGGGACATCCGTTCCGCCATAGGTAGTACTGCTGCAGCGGCACTAGGTACTGCAATCTCGGACCGAAGAAATGACTGGTTTGACGGCAAATGCAAACTGTTAGTAGATGAGAAGAATGCAGCACGGGCGAGAATGCTGCAACACCGCACGAGATTGAATGTGGAGCGATACAGACAAGCGCGGAACAGACAAAACTCGGTTTTCCGAAGGAAGAAGCGTCAGCAGGAAGACCGAGATCGCGAGGCGATGGAAAATCTGTACCGCGTAAACGACACACGGAAATTCTACGAGAAGCTAAATAGTTCGCGCAAAGGCTACGTGCCGCAAGGACTTGGACGGTAACCTTCTCACGAACGAGTGTGAGGTGATTGAGAGGTGGAAGCAGTACTATGACGAGCACCTCAACGGTGAAGCAGCAGAAAACGAAGGTGGCACGGCAACAGACCTTGGAGCACGCGCAGAAGACGATAGGCTACCGGCCCCTGATCTTCAAGAAGTTGAGGAGGAGATCGGTCGGCTGAAGAACAACAAAGCAACTGGTGTAGATCAACTACCAAGTGAGCTATTGAAATACGGTGGTGAAGCACTGGCTAGAGCGCTGCACTGGGTAATTGCCAAGATTTGGGAGGAGGAGATATTACCGGAGGAGTGGATGGAAGGTGTCGTATGCCCAATCTACAAAAAGGGCGACAAGTTGGATTGCTGCAACTACCGCGCGATCACACTGCTGAGCGCCGCCTACAAGGTACTCTCCCAAATTCTATGCCGCCGTCTGTCACCATATGCAAGAGAGCTCGTGGGGCAATACCAGGCGGGATTCATGGGTGCCCGCGCTACCACGGACCAAATTTTCGCGATTCGGCAGGTTCTGCAGAAATGCCGCGAATACAACGTGCCCACACATCATTTGTTCATCGATTTCAAATCCGCATACGACGCAATCGATCAAGATCAGCTATGGCAGATTATGCACGAGTACGGATTTCCGGATAAACTGACGCGATTGGTCAAGGCGACGATGGATCGAGTGATGTGCGTTGTTCGAGTATCGGGGACACTCTCGAGTTCCTTTGAATCTCGAAGGGGGTTACGGCAGGGTGATGGACTTTCGTGTCTGCTGTTCAACATCGCGTTAGAAGGTGTGATCAGAAGAGCTGGGATAGACACGAGTGGCACGATATTCAGGAAGTCCATCTAGCTCCTTGGTTTCGCCGATGACATTGACATTATGGCACGGAACTTTGAGATGATGGCGGAAACGTACATCAGACTGAAGGCTGAAGCTAGACGGATTGGACTTGCCATCAACGCATCAAAGACAAAATACATGAAAGCAAGAGGTTCTAGGGAAGACAATGTTAGCCTCCCACCCCGAGTTCAGATTGACGGTGACGAAATCGAGGTGGTCGATGAGTTCGTGTATTTGGGCTCACTGGTGACCGCCGAAAATGATACCAGCAGAGAAATTTAAAGACGCATTAAGGCAGGGAATCGTGTCTACTTTGGACTCCGGAGGACGCTCCGGTCGAATAAAATTCGCCGCCGCACGAAGTTGACTGTCTACAAGACGCTGATTAGACCGGTGGTCTTTTACGGCCACGAGACCTGGACTATGCTCGTGGAGGACCAACGCGCCCTTGGTGTTTTCGAACGGAAGGTGTTGCGTACCATCTACGGTGGAGTGCAGATGGATGACGGAACGTGGAGGAGGCGAATGAACCACGAATTGCACCAACTGCTGGGAGAACCATCCATCGCCCACATTGCAAAAATTGGGCGACTACGGTGGGCTGGGCACGTTGTAAGAATGTCGCACGACGACCCAGTGAAAATGGTTCTAGAAAGCGACCCAACAGGAACAAGAAGAAGAAGCGCACAGCGGGCAAGGTGGATCGACCAAGTAGAAGGTGACCTGCGGACCAATTTTTGCAATGTGGACGATGGATGGTTCTCCCAGCAGCTGGTGCAATTCGTGGTTCATTCGCCTCCTCCACGTTCCGTCATCCATCACTTCCTTTTTCAATTGGATCACACAAATAGCGAAGCAGCAAACCGTTAAACTTTTTTAAAAAGGAACACCGTAGTAAAATATACTATTATTTGCATCATCGACAATTTTTGTAAAGTGTCCAGCATCAAAGTTGAGGAAGTGAATCATCGCTTCATCGCAAAATCAAACGCATTATTTTATTCTGCTGGCGCTGTAATCTCGATATTTGTGCTTCATTGGCCAAAAATAAAATGGAAGAGCCAAAATCTAGATGAGGAGCGATGATTGATTTGTATAGCTGTATTTTACTCACTTCCATAATTTTCTTGATGAAATTGTCAATGTGAGAGTTGCACTTAAGTTTGTCACGCCAAGATATGTAATCTCCCGAACGCGATCAATAGTCTCATTATCAGTTACAGCTACATCATATTAAATTCGACGATTTTTTTTTCAGTTTGTCTTTAAAATCCTTCTAAAATCAGCCATTTGTGGATGCTATTAATCTTGTCCTTAAATCTTCGAGGCTACTTTTCCATGCTTCTTATACAAGTGCTAAACCAGCCATGGATTTTAATGATTGAAACGTGTCGATCGATGCGTATTTCGTCCATCTATCCATCCGTCTGTCTGTCTCACCTCTCCGTTATGCACCCGCCATGATACGCACACCACACCTATCGCAATCTCGCGGGCGCACGCTTCGTGATTCTTATTTCTTGGCACCAATTTTGTCATTCACATGTTTATCATCTCTCGCCAAGTCAGCTAGCCCAGAGCTCGCCAACTGCTACCGATGGCTGCCCATATCGGAGCAGTAGATTGTGGTTTAATAAGAAACTCGGCATGGTCGGGCTCGGCTCGACGATGATGATTGGAGCCACCGCAAATGGGTAGGTATAAAACATGAGAAAACAACATCACAGCCAACGAAGCATAATAAAACAGCGCATTTAACCTCACCAAGCCTAACTGCGGAGCTGTCGATGATGATGATTCTCCCCTGTCTGTCGCGTCGTCTAAACGGGGACCGGTGGTGGTAATTAATTTCGCATGCCTTCATTAAGTTTCCATGGAAAGATTTCCGAATGGGGCATAAGACAGGAATCAAGAACCCACCCATTCCTAAAACGTCATCAAAATCGACTGCTGTGCAAGATCGCCATTACAGGTAGGTACAGGGAGAAAGAATATGGAGAATCGACAACAACTCACCTGTCCGCTAATATCCTGACCGGTCACTTCCTTAACGATCGTCTTGACGCTGGCCGACGTCAGTGGCCGGCCGGTCGTCGACGCCGTTTGCATCACATGGAGAACTTGCTGTTGACCTAGAAATGGAAAGGTGGGAAGTAGTAGAAAGGTTATAGAACAAGCGCATGTACGTTTTAAGCCTATAGACACAGTGTGCGAAAAGGCGAATGGAACGAAGAACGGAATTGAGCTGTTTAGGTGCTAGTTTTACTATTATATTATGAATTGGTTTTGAGGTGGGAAAGCCGTATTCGTTGTAGCTGGAATTGAATGTGATTGGACTGAGAAAATCGACGTGCTAGTATGTTGGTACCGTCGACGACATATCAAAACATCTAGATAGAGCTAGAATTAGGGCGTAACAGATTTTGTAAACAATTACTTCTCTCAGGATTTCTAGAAATAAATCTAGAAGACTTCCCCTACCCGATTGTTTACAAAAGTTGTTACGCTCTAATTCCAGCTCTATCTAGACATGATTTCAAAACTTTTACGACTGTCAAGTTCAAGCTCGTTTGCTTTTATAGGTATGATGCGACAGTTGCGAAAAACCTCCGTATACAGTACCGCACAAAATTAGCGTAATATGGAACAAGATGGGCCAGCTAGTATTTTTTTTTTTAATTTATTTGCTTGTCAATATCAACTGATTCAATGTAACCTCAATGATGATTTGATTTTCCTAACCAGCATGGAGGCTATATTCAGCATGTTGATGTTGGGGCCTCCCTTCGCTAACTCGGTAAAGGCGCAGCTACAAACTAGACCATGCTGGAGATGGCTGGGATCGATTCCCGGTTCGGTCTAGGAATTTTTCGGGTTGGAAAACTTCTCGACTTCCCTGCCACACAATTATACTAATGCAAAAATGGTACAGGCATCGAAAGCTCTCAATAAATAACTGAGGAAGTTGAAAGCACACAATCCAGCACGCAATAAGCTAATATGCGATATACAATAAGCTTGAAATGCGAGGAGGAAGTAGAAGGAGGAAAATTCTAGGGGATTTCTGAGGAGAAGTTCGAAGGTTTCTGAGAAAAGTTTTGACTACAGTTCAAAAACAAATCAAAGGTTACGAGTTTTCAGCACTGTTTCAAAATATTCCAAGGAAATTATTTCAGAGTTTCAAAGGAATTTCAAGAAGAATTTCGAGGAAATTACGAGGTCATTTTAAGAAGAATTCCATAATAATTATGAGCAGAAATTCAAGATAATTTATGATTAATACTATGGAAAATCTAATAAAAATATAATTTATGTACTTGGAGATGCTTACCGTCAAATATCATACTTAAATTGGACATTTTATACGATAGATGGCAACAATAGCTGCAATTTTCAAACCTAACGACTAGATGCATACGTCAAATGTTGGACTTGAGTGTGTTTCCGCACATCGGAGGTACATGAGCGAATCAGCGATCATCCCTTTTGCCAATGGTGGCGAGGGAAAACGTCACTCACCCTTACCCCCCCTTAAGGGTGAGTTTGATATAGGGAACGCTCGATCCGTTTCGTACCTTCACCAATTTTGATTGATAAGAAGGCGCGTCTTTAGAGAGTCGCAGAATTGTTCAAATGATACGGGACATCAGAATTCAATGCGTATTCTTGCGAGAAGAGCAAGTATGAATGATAGCTGTATCAAAAACGACTAGCTTACTCAGAGGTCTACTCATTTTGCTAAATGAAATTCCCTGTGTTTTCCAGGAATTCAACGGCAAATGTCCAGGTTTTTATAGATTTTTTTTTAAATACCTACATTAAAAAATGTGCTATTTTGGGTAAAACAATTAATTAAGTGCCAGAAACGTGTTTACTTAACTTAAGTGCCATAGGTAAAGGCTCCTTTAGTTGCGGTACGTTAGAAGCGTTAGGTTCCTATAGTTGTGTATTGAGTCTCCATACACAACTATAGGAACCTAACGCTTCTAACGTACCGCAACTATAGGAGCGTTTCCCCTATATAATTTTAAAATAATAGCTGTTTTTCCATGTGTAACTTATTTGATTATGGTAAGATTGTACGTTAATAACAAACATAAATAACCAAGGTCGTAGGGGAATGCTAAATCTGGAATGAACTGGTTATATTTCAAACAAAGAGAACTTTAGTTCCAGGAGTCAATAATTTGTTTTAATAAGGTATAAATCGCTTTATTACTAAGTCAATAATAACAAAAAAATTCAAATTTGTTTTGAAATTTATCTATCATACTCATAAAAAATCTTAAATTTAATTGAAAAAAAAAGTCCCATACAATTTGCTCCATAATACTATAGAAATTATCGATGGAAAACTTCTTGATTCACTCCTCAAATAAACTCTCCTTAGTATTTAATATTGTTCTCGTAAAATTCTCAACGAATTATCTTCTGAATTTCCTCTAAATTCCACACAGAATTCTCTCCGAGTAGTTCAGTAAATTCCATGAAATGATCCTCAGAATTCTCAAAGAACTCTTCTTTGACTTCTCTAAAACAAAATATAGCAATATCCTTCAAGTATTCCTTTAAAATTTCATTTCCTTCACGCAGAAAAATACGGCATATTAGAATCAAAAATATTAACGCTTTGATTCAAATGCAAAATTTTTGTCAAATCAATAAATATGTTTATTTGATTCTAATACAGGGCAGAATTGGTTCTAAAATATTTACATTAGAAACAAAGATCTTGGTTTTAGATTCAAAAAATATGCCTTTGAAAATGATATGATCTCCGCCATTTTATTAAATCACGCAAACGGAAAAATGGACTCGTCGGAAGAAGTCGTCATTGAAGAGTTGGAAGTGGAAACGCTAGGTGTGGATGAATTGGAAGTGTTAAAATTATTGAAATCGTTTGAGTTGTGCGATGCTGTAGTTTGTGCTTTCATTGGTAAGAAAATTGATATTATATGTACTATGAAGATTCTAATATTTGTGATTATTCCAGCAAACCGATACACTGTCGATATTCTGAAGTTTATCGAACGGAAGGAAGTGGAGGAACTAATCCAGCAGCCATTTTTAGCGGAAAGAACTAAATGCATCCACGGAATCAATGCATGGAGAAAAAGCCTGGTGAGTAAACCGTAATTTATTAAAAGAATCAAATCAGCAATGTCTTATTCCTTTTAACCAGAATCTTCCGCCGTTGGCTGAATCAGCGCCGTCGCCTTTTCCACCTACGCTTCTCGCCATTCATGAACCAGACGTAACAAGAGCTGACTGTACAGCAACTTATTTGCTGCAAACATCTGCAAGAGGCAAGGCAATTCTAACAAAATATCAAACGAACAAACTTCTGACAAGATCTGACAAGCGCATCATAACACAAATCGTGGTAGACGGTTTTAAAGACCGTTTTTCAAAGCTAACTGCCTCCGAATTGCAAGACAGAGCAGTTGAGTTGAGTTTACTGTTTCCAAGTGAACCACAGGTAAGATTTTACTTATTTTGCTTTTTTTCAGCTATGCACTAATTATAAGTAATTATTTAATAAAACATCACTTGGACCGTTCTTAATATCAACACCATAATCGGGTAGGGGAAAGATTCCTCTACACGATGATGTTGTTGGTTTGCGTGGGCGGCCTTCGCTTTGTCAGGCAAGGGCTTAAGAACGGTTTGTTTACAAATGCTGATGCGCCCTTTTCTATTGTTAATCCAGCTTTCAGCTGCAATCTTATTAGCTCTCTGCATATACGAAATCCAAGTTTGATTAATGTATCAACAACAACTCACACTAATCAAAGTCTTTGTTTACTTTCTCTACAGGAGAGTTGGTATCAACCTGCATGGACGACCGATGGCTCTGGGCGGAGAGTTAAACTGAGAAAACAAGCAAAAGGAACCCTACGTGACCGCAACATCAATTACAGAGAAGATAAAGTGGAGAGTATTGTTCAAGGAACGAGTCAAGCCGTTGTTACAGCATTAGAAAATCCTGCATCAACGAGCGACATCACCCAAAACGATTGTAAGTTTCATATATGTTAACTATGTTAGTCAATAACAAAAATTCTCTTCAGTAACGGAATATCAACGGACCAAAAAATGGATTATCCATAATCAGGACGACTGGGATGAAGTAAAGAACAAGTGGAAGCAAACAACAAAGCCAAGATTGCTTGAATTATTGGACAACCAGAAACGAAACACTGCTTCTATTTTGGCTGAGTATCCTGTGTTGAGACACCACCAAGCTTATCAATTAGTCCAAATCGATTTTCAACAACGTTTTCCGGAAAAAGAAAAACTTCTTTTCGATCGATGGGAGTCATTTGTGAGCGAAGTTTTTCCTATTTTGGAAGTTGAAGTAACGGATACGGTCGGAAAAAGCTTACTAAGTTTTCTGAAAGCAGATGACATCTCTAATGGTAAGTTGAAATTTAAGTTAAATACTAATCTACATTGTTCTCATGTATTTTCGTAGATGGACGGGGGCTCATAACCATCTGGCTGCTAAATCACATCTTGCCAAGCCCTATTCTCAGGACACCGGGAAAGAATCGTTGGAAACCGTCCATAATTGAATCCCGAGAGAGCGTCGCAGTTTTGATCAAGGATTTGGCAGAGCTTCAAACTACACTTGCCAAAATATTCAAAACATTACAGACGAGAAGTGTCGATCTAACTCCATTCATTGTGGTTCACGGGGAAGATCCGAAAAATCCTACATCATTTTCAGTTTGGAACAACGTTATCTCATACAAGCTACCGAGCTTTCAAAAAGCGCTTGACGTGTGCTTGAAACTCTATAAGTCGTATGGTATTTCCTTCCCACGACAGTCATCATCAGTTTGGAACTTATTGGCAAACCTGTTGTTCGATTTTGAGATTCCCCGTGAACAAACGAATGTCGTAGCATTGTGTACTTCACTGCGTAACAGTGTTCGACAACAACAACAACAACAACAGTAATAAAAATGATTCGATGTGTAGCACGACGATGCAACTGGACATCGCAATCGATTCATCGCTTCCACGACCATATAAATAAATATCATGGTAACCTGGACGTATACGAATGCAACATCGGTGATTGCACTAGGAAATATAGTGTTAAATCTTCATTCTATCGGCACTTGAACAAACACTTTGAGGAAACCAGTAACACGACAAATGAGAGCACAGCACAACAGCATAATATCGAAGGTTCTTTTGCATATGCCGAAACGCCCACACCAAAACACAACACAGTCGAAAAATTGAAAGTGACATGGAGGATACGCCCCCACCAGATGAAACACAATGCTCGATGTATACAACCAATCTAAATCTGATGGTCAAACGAATGAAAAACGCTTCAATCCATTTTTTTTTTTTTTTTTTTTTTTTTTTTTTTTTTTTTTTTTTTTTTTTTTATTGGGTATCAAGCTGGAGCTGCGTGACAGCTTAGTTTTCAAGACTTGACCCATTTGAATAAATTTTGCTTCTATCTTTGACAATACAGCAGAAGGACTAGCCTATGTTGGCCGCTTGAACACTGGATTCCGTATGTATTGTTTCAAGATAGTTATAGAAAAAATGCTGTGACGTGTGCGCGTAGATACATCCGCGTAGTAAACCGATTGAATAAGTAAATCCGTTTCGAACGAAATATCTAAATTATGTAAGTTACGAAAACCGCGCGAATTCCGAAAGCCGTGCGAGACAACCGAAGCGAGAAAAAAGGCTTATTATCATTTAAAGAGTGCCACCAAAATAAATGTGATAGCCTATGTTGGCAAGTTGATTAATTTTGGTTTCCTCCCTAGATATTCTACTTACTTACTGCTGAGCTTTGTATCAAATTAGTTAATTTAAAGAACGTATCAATTATTTCAAGATTTCGCGACCGCACCGAACAAATTCTATGAGCTCAAAAGCGTTTGACAAACTTTACCGAATTGCGTATCACTTCTGCGTAAGCTCCGTAGACGTAGGCGCGTTGAATCCGACAGTCGACAAAGGTTTAACCTGTACCAACACCGCTTAAGGAACGACCTCAAGTCAGTGAAACCGTTTATAGCTATACATCTAAATTACGTAAGATACGAAAATCGCGCAAATTGTGAACGCCACGCGAAACAACCGTAGAGAAAAAAAAAAAAATTATTATCACTTAAAGAGTGCCACCAAAATAAATGTGATAGCCTATGTTGGCAAGTTGATTAATTTTGGTTTCCTCCCTAAATATTCTACTTATTTTACTGTTGAGCTTTGTTTCAATTTAGTTATTTTACCGCACGTATCAATCATTTCAAGATTTCGCGACCGTAACGAACAAATTCTATACTACAGAAGCTCAAAAAAACTTTTGGTGAGCTCTACCGCATTTGCGAATCACTTCTGCGTAAGCTCCGTAGACGTAGGCGCGTTGATTCCGACAGCCGCGAAAAGTTAAACATGCATCAATACCACATAAGGAAAGATCGATTTTACGTATGGTTTAGTTCATAGATTAGCATTGACTGCTGTTTACAAATGTAAGTACTTGAACACTAAGAAATAAGTTAACTCAAATGCTTTAACCGCATATATAAGAGATTTCGCGTATTGAGAGAATTATATAGTAATCGAGTACAACAAACTCAGGGGAATACAATACCTCCAAAAGTTTAAAAGCTATTAATTGTCACATACCTTTACTTTTACTTATTTCCTAAACTATTCCTCTCCTTGTTAATCTGCTTAATAGTATTGGTCTGCCTGCGTTTTCTTGTTAATGTTCAAACCTAAATAAGAAGATTTATTCTACAACTTTAAAGGTTAGTTGCCTCCTACGCGGACCCCCCGCATCCTAATTCTTTTGTTAATCTACTTAATGTCATTAGACTTTCTGAAGTTTCTTATTTAAGTTCATTTGATGATTATGATATCTCATTAGTCTAATTTAATAAATTATTAAAAGCTCTAATTCACCTAATCAATCATAACCCATGCTTTATAAAGTACCTGCACTTGTGCTTGTAATCTAAAATTAAACGTGTTTCAAGTACTTTTGATTTAAGCCTATACCTATTTATTATATCTTAGTTCAACCCAGGTAACACCTTCATGTGACTAAAATGCTTCATTTTGAAGTTAGTTTCCTAGCTGATATTTACATTATATAGGGTATATGTTCCAATTACGCTCTCACGTTTCCACTATGTCGCACCACAAAAATACATATGGGTATGTCACAATAGAAGCACACCACAGTGGAAATCCCGAGCCATAGTTCAAACACTTATCCCAAATCAAAATGAAGCACATATAAGATTATTTACAATACCATGTCCAAAATGGTGTTTAACATTGTTCCCTGAGTAATACCTCAATGAAAACGACAATGAAAGCTTGTCACGCAAATAGAAGGAGCACCGATGGGCACTTTCTGAAATACTTCAATAGTATAATTCCCTTGCAAACCCAAATAAATCTATCGTAAAAAATAAATAAAATAAGAGTGATTTGCGGCAAAACCCGCCAGTATCACACCCAACGTCAGTGCCTATACGTAAGCGTACTACGACGCGGCTCTCAATAAAAGGAGTAACAAGTGTGATACTATCACTGCTAGACTAGATCTTTGGTTCTCTCATGCAGTGGTTTATCAGAGAGGGGAAGCTTAGTAATCCCCATTGCCTGCCCATGACGCCATTCTATCGCGGCATGAGCCAGCAACGCCGACCATAAACCTACCGTCTCCAACACTCCACTAGCATGAAATTAAGCCCGCCCACCAACAGCAAGGTGCAAAAACTAGCCAAGGGGAGGGGAAAAACGCTTCAATCCATTTTAATCTGAAATATTTAAGTGCAAACACTCTTCCAAGGAAAGTTGTTTTCGATGTACAACAAGACATTCAAAACATGTTTTTAAATCCGCTTAGTAACATAGTTAAATTAATGGAGTCTTCAGGTTGTATTACGGCAGAAGGGAAAATAATGTTCGATGAAATATTTGCAAATATGCATAACAGCGATACAGAGTACAAATTCGTTGAACAACTGAAGGCGAATGATTTGTATGCAGAACCGAGAGAATTTGTACTCAGTAACGAATTACGTCCGGGTATTGTACGGAATGCGCAGCAAATGAGTAACGACCCCATTACAGGTAAAATAATAATGTAATATAGTTGACTACATGTTTGGTAATTAAATTAACATAATATATTTACATTTTTAGCTATTCTAATGCCTTTGAATTTTCAACTACGGAAGTACATGGAATCAGATGGTGTTATGGATACTATATTAAAGAGCTTAACGCCTTCGAGTGATGGATGTATCAGAACCATGGTTGACGGTAACCTGTGGAAGCAGCGCACAATGTACTCTGACAATAAGTTGATAGTGCCTTTGAACTTGTTTTTCGACGATTTTACAACTGGCGATACCGTTTCACCGCATGCGGCTAAAACTTCTATTTGTGGGATTTACTATTATGTTCCCTGTTTGCCTGCTCACATTCTGACAAAACTGTCAAATATTCATGTATGTAGCTGGATTTATATTGTCAGCGGATAGAAAGGAATTCGATAACAATTTTCTTTTTCGTAATCTAGTAGATATACTAATTGAATTAGAGACAAACGGATTAGAGATTAACTTCAAAGGAGAGAAAATAGTTATCCATTTCATGTTAGGATTCATTACCGGTGATAACTTAGGACTTTCTGGTATCTTAGATCTAGTTGAATCCGTTCGAGCCAATTATTATTGTCGTTTGTGCAAAAGAAACCGAAACCAGAGAGAAAAGGATACTACCGAATACACCGAAACATTCAGAACTGTAAAAAGCTACGATGAAGATTTAAACTTGGACGATGTATCACTTACTGGTGTGAAAAAGAAGAGCATTTTTAATGAGATTCCTTCCTTTCATGTTACCTTCAACGTTTACTTTGATTTGATGCATGATCTTTGGGAAGGCGTGTGCATTTATGGGTTAGGGCATTATTTGAACTATTTTATTAACGTTAAAAACACATTCTCACTTGACGAACTGAATTTTAGAAAAAATACATTTGTGTTCGGAAACCTTAATTCGTCCAATATTCCAAGCGATATTAAAGACATAAATATCTCTAAAAGCAAAATCAAAATGACTGCAAGTGAAATTAAAACGTTAGTTAACTTCCTTCCACTCATCATAGGAATGTTAGTACCAGAAGAGGACGAGGTTTGGAAAAATTTTTGTTTGTTGCTTCAAATCTGTCACATTCTCATGCTGCGTGAAATATCAATTGAATACCTGGAGATTTTGAAAAAGTTAGTAGATGTTCATCACTCACAGTATTTGACATTGTTTAATGACACGTTAAAGCCCAAACATAATTTATTACATTATGCTACATTTGTTATGCAATCAGGTGCTCCTAGGCATCAATGGGCTATGCGAGGAGAAGCAAAACATCGAGATTCAAAACAGTATAGTAGAGCTACTAACAACAAGATAAATTTGTGTAAATCTCTAGCAATTAAGGCCGGATTCAAATTTGCGTCCAGCGTGTTAAATGGTAGCTTTTTGGAACCAGAAATAGATTTACGGGATTCGAAAATAACTATGTCACCACTATTTGAAGAATATAAACACCTCTTAACTACTTACGATACGATTAATGATGATGCTATACGATATGTGGATAGATTTAAAAAGCAAGGGATGATTTTCATGAAGAATGTGTATTT